GATCCAAATTTAGTAATTACCCGCAACATTACGAGTTCTAGAGCCCTCGCATCTTAGTGCTCTTCTCATCCCAAGTTAACTGGCATCTTCAACTGACTCCTTCATCAGCCTGACAGCCCACCCTCAAAGCAGCCCCCGCTACTTATTAAATAATAACTAAAAAATAAGAATATTGTTCACATAATATAATAAAAATAAAATTCCTGTGCATTGAACACTAAATCAATTTAATTAATTTATCACTATGATGCCCTTATTAAGGCTTTAATTGGACTAAGAAAGGCTCTACCCTATCTAAATATTTAACAAGTCCTTTTGCTTCAAGCTTGTTAAATAAATCTTTGCATGAGTCCGTACCAGAATTTCTTAATGAAAGATTGATTAAGTAAATAGGTTTCAAACTATAAGGGGTGTTTTAGTAAAATTCAAACTATAGGATAGGTTTAAGTAAATCTATGAAACTATAAGAGATGTTCTAGTAAATGACACTTGTTGAAATGATGAGTTATTTTTTCTTTGTTCAATTTTGAGTATTGCCTTGTATTTTTGGCCATTATATAAAGTTGAGACCTATTTAATTTTAATGGTTAGGATAATACAAAATATGGGTGTGGTGAATGCATTATGCATACTAGGTATTTAACATGGTTAATGGCTTCACAAACATGGCACTAGAAATGAAAGATGATTTGGTTAGCAATGGAAAATTGGATCATAAACTTGAAATATAGAAATTAAATGTAGCTGATCGAAGATATATTGGTGAAACTTTGCAAAAAAAAAAAAGGGGTTATCCCATTGTTGCAAATTCTCTATCGAGTCAGAGGTTTTGGAAAAAAAAAAAAAAAGAATGAATAGAACCAAGGTTGGAGAATAGTGGAGATTGGAGAACAAGAAAAAGATATGTAAGTCCAATGTGGAAGAAAGTCAACAAACAATTTTACCTCTTGCAGCACAAGTAGAAGTTCATAGGTCTTGTAGACCAAACAACGGTTTCAACTCTCTGTAGGGCCCACAAGTAGAAGTTCATATTTTTGTTATTGATGTAGGGCGCAAATGATTGATGTAGGGCGCAAATGATGTAGGGCCTATATCATGTTGATGAAAGAAAAAAAAAAAATTGAAAATTTTAAAACGTTTATTCTCATTTTTGTCACAAAAAGTTTATTGTTTAAAAAACAAAGCATTTGATTCATAGATATTTTTTTTTTTCGTTCTATCCATTTTTATCCATTCTACAAGGAGAGTTGAACCAAACATCGCCTTAGTTGTCATTTATTCCAAAGAGTTAGCAATGGAAGGTTGTTTAAAGAGTCTTTATTTGGTTCGATGTATTTTTTTATCAGCAGTCTTTATTAGGTTCAATTCAATGTATGTGTTATTTGTGAGGTTGAGATAGTTGTTAGAAAATTTATTTGCATGGTTTTCAAAACTGGACTGGATTGGATGGTCGGACCGAAAAATCAGGAATCGGTTAGCTGATCAGTTATGTTTTTCCCAAAAATCAGATTTCCCCCTCAAAACCGTTGATTTTGGTCAGTGAACCCCTGAATCGGGTGGTTAATCGTTCGAACCATTCGAACAGTTTTGACTATTTTTAATTTCTTTTATTTTTTTGTCAGAACGGGTCAAGTGTTTGGTTCGAATGGTCGGACCGTTCGACCTGATAATCGGACCCCTGACTAATTCGGTCACCGAGTCGGTTTTAAAAATATGTTTATTTGGATACTTTTGCATTTAGTTTAATAGAAGAAGTTTAATTGTTTTCCCACCCTGCTTTCTTCTCCAACGCCATAAAGGGAAGAATATCCCCTCCCCCCAATGGGTGCAATTTGTGGTTGATCCAAGCAAACATTTTACACTGCTTTGGATTTGGGCATTCAGGATGGGCCCATTTAAAGTTTGACAGAAGTCCAAATCGAACCCATCCTAACTCTACACCTAACCTATATGTATCAATCCTTTGAACCTTGGCCTTAACATGTAATAGTGTCTTTTTAGGTATATATATATATATCTTCTCATCAAATAATAGGCAATACTGATTTGGATTTTGATAGGAATGGCAATGAGACTGGGTTTTGCATATCCTGTCCTCACTCCCAGACTCAAATACCCACTCCGTTCACCCAACACACTTTTAATCAGAGTGGGTTTAGGGTCAGGATTGAGGCGATTGGACAAATATCATACCCACCCTGTCCTTAATCACCAGAGTTTTGGGTTTCCTTGAAAGTTGAAACCCACTCGAAGGGCCTGTTCGTTTCCTCTTAACTCTTATCTCTTAATAGGAATATTTTAACTTTAAGAGAAAAATGGTTGTTCATTTCATCTTATCTCTTATCTCTTAAAGTGCACTCATACAATTTTTTGTTTTCTAATGATACCTCCAAAGAGACTAACAAAAGCTCTCATATATAGGGTCAAAATAGATATTTGATAATTTTCAAAATTCAGAATTCAGAGTTTAGAGCAACATTCTTTGCATTTAGAGTTTAGAGGGAAGAAAAATTCACCAATACCAATATATCTCTTAATGTAATTATTACACTTTCAAATATTAGACTTCAAAGAAAATAAACAAGTCCAAAATCCATTAGTATTAAACAAACCTTCTCCAACTGTGGTGGGGTGGATCAGGGCCCAATGGGGCGGGTCCAATTGCCATATGTAGATTTTCATTGAATAGGGACCCTTTACATTAAAAGAAAAAAAATGAAAGAAAAGAGTAGCATTTGAAAAAGCATGTTAACAATCAACTTGACACCCCATATGGCATATCCTCCACTTGATTGTCTTCCATATGAATTCACAATAATAAATTCTCCCACATGTGAGTCTCTCATTGGAATATCATGAGAATAATGTGTAAAGTTCCTCCACTTTTTTTTTTTTAATCTTTTTCTATGTTTGGGCAAAAGGATTTCGTCGGATCCACTGCAAGTATGGTCAGATGTGGCTATTGTAGAAGTAGTTGGGCAGGAATTGGCTGCAACAGATCACCTAATGGCTAGAGGTTAAGGCTTAGGGCACGTTCAGGAAACAGGAGGTTTGAAATTCCCATTTGGGAAACAGGATTTGGCTGGTCAAGTGTGGGCCCACATGGCCAGTGACAGCTGGTTGATGGGCTTTATACTTCAGCTTCTTTAAATAGCTTATCTACTGTGCTTTGTCAAGATGATCCGATTTCATTGACTTCTTAAGCAATGAAGTCTAAATGGATTCAGTTTGGGTTTTTGTCAAAATTTGGATAGAACCGACACAAAAGGCTCGAACCTATAGTGATAAAATGTTACCTCAGGGTCAGGGACTCAGGAGGGCCTTCGATGAAAATTTTCGATCAGTTTAGCCGAATCTTCAGTTCAGCCCTCTCAAATGGCCATTAGTGAATATTCGATAAGTGAATAGTCTAAAGGATATTGGATTTACTCCACATAGCATGTCTCTCACCAATCTCACATTTAGGGGTGGATTTGAGCCGAATGCATGGTTATTTTAGCTTAACTCGTAAAAATAATATTAAGTTTGAGTTTGAGGTTTGAGATTGAGCTCGGTTCGATTCAAAAACTCGTAAGTTTAAGCTCGATTGCAAATCAATAAAAATTATTTACTATTGTACATAAAAAATAAAAATTATTATTACATATAAATAAAAATTATTTATTATAATATATATATATATATCTATATCTATATATAAATTATTTATTTATTATACCAGGCTCGAGCTTGACTTGAAGTTCGTTTTAAACTGAACTGAGTCAAACTTTTCACGAGCTAAACTCGAATAGCTCATGGCCACCCTTATTCATAGTGTTTTTAGGTGTGCATTAAGAGCATCTCCTGATTGGATTTATGGATTAGTTAATATCATGGGTATTTATTTTAATAAATGTTTTGCACTTTTTTATCTTGAAAAATAAAAAAAATGGATAATAAACATTTTATATTTTTTTATTTAATATTTTTTGACGATAATATATAAATTCAACAGTGAATAAATGATACTTAAAAACATTAAAAATGATATTTCCCCAACAATTGGCTATCCCTAGGATTGCTCACGGCTTGATTAAGAGAACCATGGGGTTTCTTAAAACTAAAGCGGCCCCATTGATTTTTGCATATCTCCTAACCGAAATAAAACAGATACCATCAGTTAACCGAATTTTCAAATTTTTATATCTATACATATAATATATTATATTATAAATAATAAATGATATATAGTATAAATACTATATATGTAATATGTAATATATTTAGCGTGGGGGTGTGAGAGATAAGACTGTCTGCCTATGACTATAAGTTGCTTCGGTGCTTCACCGCTTCCCTGCCCCCTGTTCGGCTGTTTCATCCATCATTCGGTGGGAAGACCGAAGACCAGAAACGATTACGTCAGCAGCTACGCAGCCCCGGGCTTTTATTTATTCATTTTATTTTAAGGGCTTGTTTGCGTCATGTATTACGATAAACTCCTTAGTTTTCTAATACGTCTCTTTATTATGCTTAACTAATTAATTAGGAATTAGGGACAAGGTTCCCCGGACTTCGTGGAGGTGGAGAACTTGGTTGATTCTCCACCGCCCATGCGGAATCTTGCTACCATGGTCCCCACCAAACACATTCCATGCCGACGTGCACGTTATGCCATCACTGGTCATAAACATACATTACAACCCTCTATCATCTGTCAAAGACAAAGTCATAGACCACCCATCAATCATTTAACCATTCAATGCAGATTAGACGAGAGACCAATCTGATGGCACAAAAGTGTCCAATCAAGAGAGGGACCCATCTTCCCATGGATCGTTGTTGCATCTGGTTGGAGCTGTGTTGAGTCAACTTTTGGAACACAGACTGCACAGAGCTCCCATCCGAAGGAGAAACGAGCTACGAGCGTTACCACTAATTATTTATTAAAATATAATTGCAGTAAGGAAAGGAAAGGGATTAAAGCTCAAAGCTTTTAACCTTTTAAAGCTTACAAAAATGTTTTTTCATTCTCTCTCTCTCTTCTGTCCGTCGTTTTTTAATTTCGAGACTTCCACTATATCTTCCAGGTTTCTGCCGCTTCTTGGAAGGCAGAGGAAGAGGAAGGGGGAGAAGGGGTAATCACCAAACTCGTCTGCAGGCTGAAGGAGATGGCGGATTTGGAAGAGATTGGCGCTGAAATCTGGTATCTCCTTTATCTTCCAATTGCTTTTTGTTTACTTGGTTTCGGTTTAAGGGGTGGATTTTCGATGCTTGTCAATCGACATTACTGTTTAATAAGAAATCGTTCGGTGGCTTATTCGAGTCCTTCTCTTCTGTAGAATCTGAAATCGGACCTTTTGTTATTTGTTAACGCCTCTGGTCTCTGTAAATACCGAGGGCTGGGTCATGGAGATTCGTCTATTGTTTTTCCCCCGTTTCATTTGAAGCTTTGTTTTCAATTTTGTCTTTTGGCTTTCTTTCGAAGTGTTCCTGATTGTACTGTACTAGCTGTTTGAGATAATTAGGGAGGTAGGTAGCGTATCATACATGGAAAGGGTACTTGGGTTCAGGAAAGAATCACGACTCTTGCTTACCTCTCTTTGATTTTCGTCCCTTTAAACCTGTACTTGGTTTTCATATTTTTGAATCAAATTGAGAATTTTCTGATAATTGCGGGTGTTTTGGGCGACAGTTCGGATCTTGAGGTTGACGACATCAGGTGTGATAATCTAGCGGAGAAAGATGTCAGTGATGAAGAGATTGAAGCTGACGAGCTGGAAAGGCGCATGTGGAAGGACCGGGTCAAGCTCAATAGGATCAAGGAGAGGCAGAAGCTTGCTGCCCAACAGGAGAAGCCCAAGCCTAAACAGACCTCCGACCAGGCTCGGAGGAAAAAAATGTCCAGAGCCCAAGATGGTATCCTCAAGTACATGCTGAAGCTGATGGAAGTCTGTAATGCCCGTGGATTCGTTTACGGGATCGTGCCCGAGAAGGGAAAGCCGGTGAGTGGTTCCTCTGATAACATACGGGCTTGGTGGAAGGAGAAGGTAAAGTTTGATAAGAACGGACCGGCGGCAATAGCCAAGTATGAAGCAGAGTGTTTAGCAGTAGGTGAGGCAGAGAATAAACGAAATGGGAACTCTCAGAGCAGCCTTCAGGACCTTCAAGATGCCACTTTGGGCTCTCTCCTCTCGTCCTTGATGCAACACTGCGATCCCCCGCAACGGAAATACCCATTAGAGAAAGGTCTTCCGCCACCCTGGTGGCCATCGGGTAACGAGGACTGGTGGGAAAAGCTAGGATTACCCAAGGGTCAGGCTCCACCTTACAGAAAGCCCCATGATCTGAAGAAGATGTGGAAGGTTGGTGTGCTAACTGCAGTTGTCAAGCACATGTCCCCCAATATTGCAAAGATCAGGAGGCATGTCCGGCAGTCAAAGTGTTTACAGGATAAGATGACTGCCAAGGAGAGTTCAATTTGGTTGGGAGTCTTGAGCCGAGAGGAAGCACTTATCCAGCAGCCAAGTGGCGACAATGGTGTATCTGGTGTAACTGAGATGCCTCCAAGAAGTCGTGGTGGAAGGAAGCAGGCTGTGGCTAGTAGTGACAGTGACTATGATGTTGATGGTGTTGATGATGGTGTGGGTTCTGTTTCTTCTAATCCTAAAGTTGACAGGAGAATTCAACCAGTGAATGCAGGACCTTGTGGAAACCCATGTGATAACCCAAGGCATCCTTCTAATGATAAAGAGCAAAGTGAAGAACAGCCAAGGAGAAAAAGACCTCGTGGGAGATCAAAACCTGTTGATCAAGGGACACCATCTTCTCAGAATGAGCATCTACATGGGGAAGAGAGAAGCGTGGTTCCAGATATGAACCAGGTTGACTTACAGTTGGTTGAATTTCAAATGCAAACAACCCAGCTGGAAAATGATCCAGTTCCATCTTTGAGGCCTTTGGAAGAAGATCAGGATATCCAGCTCCAGTTACCTGAATCTGCGCTTAACACCTTCTCAGACCTTCCTTCCACCAATGAAACAACCTCAGAGAGTATGCTTGTTGGTGACAGACCCTTATTATATTCAATTGTGCAAAATGCTGAATTGCCTCCTAGACCTAGTTACTTTTTCTATGATCCATCAGTAGGAAATAGGCTACATCAGGATAAAGAGCAGCTACAGATATCAATGGCAGATCCCCAGATGATGCCTGAGGAAACAGGATACCATGCACCATTGCTACATGGAAATAGAAATCAGATTGCAGGAGAGGAAATACATCGTTATGGAAAGGATAGTTTCCATAGTGAGCAAGATAAACCCGTTGAAAGCCACTATGGGTCTCCACTTGATGGCTTGTCATTAGATTATGGAGGATTCAACAGTCCATTTTTTGGATTTGATGGCACTAGTTCATTAGATGCTGATTTAGATTTTTCACTTGATGATGACTTAATCCAATATTTCGGAGCATAGTCTGCGGCACCTATTACAATGCAGCATAGAGTGTGAGCAGCATTTCTTTGTGAATATGTATCTTGATCTTGTTGCTCAAATATGGTTGTACTTTTGTTCGTGTCACAGATTACAGGGCGCAGGTTCTACTGTAGGCAGGACAATGGACCTTTTTTAATCCACTGGAATTGCTAATTTGGCCTTACCAGATCCAAAAATTGTAAGTAGTTCGATCAAAAAAGAAAAGAAAAGAAAGAAAATATACAATCTAAAAATTATAATTTCTAGATGGTTATTTATGTTTCAGTTTGCCCTATCATCTTGCAATGTGGATGAAAGGCATGGATTCATGTAAATTTAGTGAATTAATAAGTGCACTCATTGATACTGGACAATAAAAGTCATGATTTTTTTGCCATTTTCCTTGGAGAAGATGAGATCAAATGAGTATACAACTTTTAATTGATAGTTTTTTTTTTTAATATGCTTACTGAAATAGTTATTATCTGTATTGCTCATTTCTCACTTTGTTTTTTTTTTATTATTTATGTACTTTTTTTCTTTGCAACAGATGAATTCAGGGCATTTTGTTTCTCATTACTAGTCTAATAGGGATGCCACATGCATTGACCATTTTATAGAAATGGATTTTTGGGCTTGGAATCATGAATACTGAGAGAGAATTTTTTTGCTTCCAAATGGCTTTATGTGAAGTTGATGGTAAAACTAAGATGCAAGATTGAAGTTCCCTTCACTTTCTTTTGCCAAGGTGTCAAGTAAATCAGTTTCAGAAGTATGCCTGAGTATTCATCTAAGATATTCATCTTTAAGAGAATGACTCCATGATGATTTATTCTATTCAAATTCTGAAAATTCATATGAAGATACAGACAGATGGAAGAGAAAAGAAAGATTTGTATTTGCAAAAGGCTAAGAGAATGGGTAATTAGAACTTCTAGGTTCATAAGGGGCCACATTTGATTGATTCTAATATGCGAAAGATCTACCCCTTTTCTATATTAGGACGCCTCTAAATACACCATTGTATCAAAATATGATGCATATCAGTATTATCCCTGAGACAGTTATAAGAGCAACATTTCTATTTGAGACAGAGTGCTGAGAAATCAAGAAGCAATATATTCAAAACATGGGTTTAGCTGAGATGAAGATGTTGAGATGGATGAATGGCACGACTAAAAGAGAGTATCAGAAATAAGTACATTGAAGTGAACTTAAGAGTAGCTCCAGCTAACGACAAGATGGGGGAAAGTTGACTGAGATGGTTTGATCATGTGTATGGTGACCAGTGACTGCACCAGTGAAGGGTGACTTGGTGCAAGTCGAAGGGTCTAAAAGAGCAAGAGGAAGTCCAACGAAATGTGGTTTGAGGTGGTAATAAATGATTTAAACACATAATCCCACAGAGCATGACTCTTGATAGATCGTAATGGCGGGATATCCAGAACACTGTTCCTTTCCAGGCTTAAATGATTTGAAAAATATTTGGACATTGTGAATGGATGGATTTTGATCCTCAGACAGTAGTCAGACTGGATGTTTCATAGCAGGTTACTATGTGAAACTTAAGTAGCTTGGTTGCTCATTTCAGTATTATTTAATTCTGTACTATGGGTCAGCCCAGGTATCTTTTGGTGCCTATCCCTGTACTACAGAAACAATAATGTTTTTTTTTTTTTTTTTTATCTTTTGATCGGTAGAACATGTATGGTTTATCGGTATCACATTGACAGTTCTTTTCTGCTATCTTCTTTCTCAGGTGAGTTCTGTTTTTATATCATTACCTTGTCTTATGTTTTGATGGCATTTAATCATGAAAAAAGTTTGAACTGATGGGGAGTTGTTATAAGCCCCTAAAAACATATTCTAGGAGGGGGAAAAATCCATACACAGGTTTTGATATGACATAGAGACAATTCTTGGGAGTTAATGTGTCCATCGGGTATTTGATCTTTTTTCTTGTCTTGGTGTATAGCCAAGGAGTTTGATTTGTTTAGTTATAATTTAATTATTTAAAAATTTTGGTTTCATTGATTAAGGAGATTATGAGTTGTAGCATTTAGGTTGGTCAATGACATTGCTGATGCATTTGCTAGGGAAAGGGTGGGAAGACATACTCTTGTTTGGGAGGCCCTTGGTCTCGGGTGTCAGCGATTGGCTACTTGTACATCCTTTTTTTCCTATTTGAGTGTCATCCTTGACCGTAATTGTAAGCTCCTTTGACCTTGAGGTGCAGGGGTATGTATCTCTGTTTTCATTATCAATGAATAGCTCTTGACTGTTGTTATTGATAAAAAAAGGTATGAGTGGCAGAATTATAATTTCCTTTTTTTCTTATTTCTTGATCCTAGAGGGGGTATATCCGACCTATGCTTTGTCTATATACGTATGGGGTGATTTCAGTAAGCAAATAAATTGAATTGTTTTGAGCTTCAGCATCGTGCCGGTGTGGCAAGTATTTCAAGCAAACTCTAGAGTGATTTTAGGAAGCAATGTATTATTTCTCATTTTCTTGATTGTTGAAGCTCGTTATTAGTGATTGGCAATCTTATAGACCATCCTTTATAGCTTTAATTGTGCTATTTCCATGTATTTATATGGTGATGTTCTTGGACCATGAATTTTAATTAATTGTATATTTCTACACCTAAATTTACAGAAAGATGTGTTATCCTCTTGTTACCTATTAGGGCTACTTCTAAGTTGAGTGGCATTGTTTAACCATGTGCAAAGAAGACTAGTAACTGCCAGTGAAAATAATTCGGTTTGATCGAAGCTCATCATAAATATCATCATGTGTTAACTCTGGCCTTGGTAATTGCTTTCCTTGCTTTCTTGTTGATCTGCATATATCTTGTTAATTCTTTCATTATTTGCTTTTGACAAGCTTTGAAAGATACTTATTTTCATTGATAAATTAAAATTATCAGTTATACCAACATATCCTTTTTAATGTACACAAGTTTAATGTCTTGTAGCAAAAACTAAAATGTTTATATGTCTTACTCATTGCTCAATTCTCCCCCCTTATGTTTCATAAGCTTGATGCAACAATAATTATTGAAACTTTGTCTATATGGCTGTAATTGTGTCTGGTTTTGATTAGATCTAGCCACATCCAAGTTCATTCTGCTTATGAAAATTCCTTGTCAAACTTGATTCAAAATCCAATCAAATCTAGGGGTCTCATATTGTATTTGAATCCTATTAGTTTATTGAATTTTCTAATTTTTGGATTTGATCCAAATTTGATAAACCCTCTTGAATTTGATCCAAAATCTGAAGAAAAGAGTTCTAAAAAAATAAGAAAACAAATGATTTTTTTTCCTTTTTGTACATAGAGTAAATTTAAATTAATGGACTTATAAATTATAGCCTCTGTACATGTTACATAAAGATTCAACTTGACTCAGATCTTAATCGAATTGAATAGGGTTATCCATATTTGATCTGTATTATTAAATGGATTTGGATTTCAAAACCCTGATTTTTATTGGTTTAAGTAAACAGACCATCCAAATCCAAACTGATAGGATGAATCTCAAATCTTCAGGCTCTATTGACAACACTATTTGTATATCTCCTTTGTTCAAATATATAGGGATTCTCGGTCTTCTATTCCACTCATCAGGTGTTTTCTTTGTTTTCAATTACTAAGGGAGTAAGGGGGTGTTTGACAATGTGAATATTTTAATTCTCACTTGTTTCCAAAATTGTCATGTCAGAAAAATAAAAGTTCTCTAACCTTGTTTTTGTTTTGAGAAGTGAAAACAAGATGGTTTTGTTTTAAAATAAATCATGTATTTGAAACCATCAAAGTTACGTTTTCTAAAACAAAAACAAAATTTCTCTCTTCAAACTTTTGAAAACAAAAAACACGCAACCAAGAAAATGTTTCTGTGGTGTTGTTTTGAGAAACAATTTGTTTTCAAACCAGATGGCTTTGATTTATTTTTGCAGGATTTTCTACTTGGATGTTAGGTTAATTTTTCTGTTAGAGGTTTAATTTAGTATTTGCTCCATTCTATGCACTAGGGACCTTTTCTCCATGGAACTTCCTCTCTTTCTTTTCTTGTTTCCTTGTCCTTTCAATACAAGAAACCATTCATTATATGGGTTTATAGTCTTTGCAATGCAATATTCTTCATTTCTGATTTCTAGATCATCTGATCACTCCTATATTTGGGGTAACCCTTCGACATTCTCACATTTGTGGGCTTCGAAACAGCGTTTTTAGAAAATTGACCATTTCTATCTTTGAATGAACCAAAGAGGAACTTGATAGGAAAAATATGCAGTAGGTATTATATAGATATTTACTTGTATGTTTGAGGAGATATTGAGATTTATCTATAGAACTATGAATCCTTCAATGGGACCTAGTACAGCCAAACATCCATAGTTAATGTAAACAATGGGGCACAGTTCTCCTAGTTACAACCATAAGAACCCAACATCAAGAGAAAATAGTCTGTTGGGTAATACAACAAAATCACTACAACGGTTTAATTTAATAAACCTAAGAAGATTCCACTGGTAATGCCAGTCAATATAGAAGCCAATAACTCCATTATAACCTTGATAGAGAATACCTAAAATTGTGAAGGAAATGGTTCAAATAGCTTGCAAATACGTAATAATGGACTATTTCTATCTCAACTCTTCCTTCAGAGGATGAAAACTTCCTTTGTTCTCTCTCACCAAAGATAATAACCAAGGATTTTGAACAATTGTTGATCCAGATGGTTGGACCGATTGGCCCAGAAATTGGTCAGGATACTGGTTCCATTTCAGCCCCAAACCATTGAATTGATCAGTGACCTGCTGATCTGGGTGGTTGAACTATCAACCTGTTTGACCCAATCAACAGTTTTTAGGCCAATTTTTCATCTTTAATCTATACTACTTATAAAAGAGCGAGTGCCTCTTCATTCTAGAATTTTCATTAGATGTTTTCTATCCTTCTTGACTAAACATACAATGGACATAAAGAGGACATATCTGTTATTTACTCTTATTTTAGAAATTGCCCACTTATAATTGTTTAAAAACTGCCCACTTGTAACTGTTCAAAAACTGTCCGTAAAATATAAATAGTTTTGTTTTAAAGATACTACAACAAATGCACGTACATGTTTACTAGTTTTTGAAGTGTCACAATTTGATCTGTTCAGACTGCACAGTTGAACTGCTAACCTGGAAATCAGTGGCCCAAATGGTTCTGATTTTGAATCGGTTTTTAAAACATTGGAAATAATGTTGTCTTTCCTCTTCCTCAAAAAGGGGGAAATTCTAAATTGAATAGAATCTCAACTTTCCCCATATTTAAGAGGCTGGTTGATGAAGCCATAAGATAGTAAAAGAGAATCCTCTATAGAGGAAAAAGTTAGTGATATTTTCTTTAACCATTAGTAAGAGAATCCTCTATAAAGGTTAGATTGGACTTCAATTTTGGGAAAATGAGAAGGGTGTTGTTTCTTGTTCTTTATGGTTAAGTTTTCTTCTTTATCTCATGTGGACTACCCCTTGATATAGGATCATCTCATTGGTCATTGGTCGGTATAAGGAAATCATACAAACAGACGGCCTAAGTAAACTAAGGAGTTGGTGTTGGACAGCTTGACAATATCCTAAATTCTCATAATGCTTTTAAAACCAACATGGGAATAGAACCATTTTTTTACAAGTGGTGGGTCAGCTGTTCAACCATTTAGGTTAAATGGATCAATTTATAGTATTATAAATTAAATTAAAATATTAAAAAATATATAATTAATACATGTAAAAAAACTTAAGTATGTCTCTAATATTATATTTATCATATTAAATAAAAAAATAAGTGTGATAAATGAGAAGTAATGATTAAAAATACAAAAGAAAAGAGCAAATTTCTGAGTTATAATCCATTAGCCGAGTTAAATGGTTTAATTGGTCGAAAAGCTGAGTTCAATAAGCCCACCTAAACCTGAGCCAAATTTAAGTATATCAAATTTTAATTTGGGCTGGACCTGGGTAGGGTATATTGGTTATATTGGGTTGGGCCTGCATTGACTTTAACTCCGGCCGGACCTGCCCAAATTCATTACCAGGGAAAAAGAATGGAAGAATGTTTGCATACCAATGCATTGGGAAACTCCACTTTTGCAGTGTTTGGAATCTCAACTGTTGGGATAAATTTGAATTCACGGTGCAACT